ACTCTGCTATAGAACGCTGTATACAACTCTGGTATAAAACGCTGCATACAACTCAGATATAGAACTGTGATATACAACGCTGTATACAACTCTGGTATAGAACGCTGTATACAACTCTGGTATAGAACACTGTATACAAATCAGATATAGAACTGTGATATACAACGATGTATACAACTCAGATATAGAACGCTGTATACAACTCTGATATAGAACTGTGATACAGAACGCTGTATACAACTCAGATATAAAACGCTGTATACAACTCAGATATAGAACGCAGTATACAACTCAGATATAGAACTGTAATACAGAACGCTGTATACAACTCTGATATAGAACACTGCTATCAAACTCTGCTATAGATTCTCTCAATTTGAACTCCTGCAACACACTACATAGGGCTGCGGTGTAAGCAGGCTTATATAGAGTGCTGCTGGTACTTAGGTATGAGCCATGATTGGGCAAAGTCATCATGACTCTGCCCAATCATGGCTCTAAAAGGGTTATTCACAAAAGGGTGAAGAGTTTGGAGAAGGCAGGAGTAGTGAACAACCTAGGACAACATAGCTGAACTGGAAAGTGAGCTGAATTGGAGAATTGCTCCTAATCAGCTATGTTGGCCTAGATTATTGACTTCTCCTGCCTTCTCCAAACTCTTCACCCTTTTGTGAATAACCCTGTAACAGAGTACTGAGCCCTGATTGGTCAAAGTCTTGCACCTGACCTGTAATCAGGTGCCTGGCCCGTTTGGCCGCACACCCCTTGCCATACTGCCACACGCCCCTTGCCAACCTTAACTACCTCCCGGCCGGCTGTTTTTTTTACAAACAGCCGGCCTCTATATCAGCTCTCTAGATCAGCCACGCCCACTTGCGTGCGCCAGCGGGTAATACAGTCAATTTAAAAACAGGCAGCGATGCCTGTTAACGTACAAGCGATCCGCTGGCTATATAGCCGGCGGATCGCTTGTATGGGCGGTCGGCCCGTGTCCCCCCTTCCTCCGCGGTCCCTCCTCCTGTTGTCACGCTGATCCTGGGCTCCGCTGTGACCGGTGCGAGCCGGGGACCAGCACAGTGCCTCTCTGACAGGGGAGCAGCGGGAGATCGGTACACGATCTCCCTCCGGTCACCTCTCTGCTGTAAGAATGCGGAAGTGATGTATATTACATCACTTCCGCATTCTTGTGTCACTCTCCAGCTTCAGATGCTGGAGAGAAGCTGATGAAGCAGACCTCTGCTTCATCAGCTTCTTCGGGGGTCCTAGGTGACATTAGGGGTCTTGGAGACCCCTGATGTCTCCATAAAGAGGACTTGTCACAATGTTTGCTATCGCATAGGGGGGTTTGTTAGCCCCCTATGTGATAGCAATAAAGTTAAGTGAAAAAAAATCGGAAAAAAATTTAAAGTTTCCCAAATTTTTTTTAAAGTTACACATAAAAAAGAATTAAACAAAAAAATGTTTTTAAAAAGTCCCCACCTATACATACACACATGCAAACATGCGTCGGGTGCGCATACCTGCGAAAACGACGATTGCGCCCATTATGCCGCACATGTTACATATCGCCGCGAACGTCGCAGTGAGAACAATAATTTTAGGGCCATCAATCACTGATAACACTAAACTGATGAGCTGTTAAAGCTTTTAAAGCATCGCCTATGGTCAATTTTGGGTATGGTGTTTTTTTGCGATTTCGCGAGTGCGCGCAATTGTTAAGCTTGACATGTTTGATGTCTATTTACCCGACATGACCCCGTCTTTTATATTTTGAACACACATTCGCAACCAAGGTTGTAGTGGGGTTTTAAAGAGGAGTCAGAAGGTTAGAAATTAATAGAAATTTATTACAATTCATTAAAACTATCCCATAATAAAGGTTAAAAATAGATTTTGTACATATACATGACTCTCAATACCCTAAATTCTTGCCTAATTCTTACAGTTCATATATTTTACATGTTACCATTAATAGTATATACATCTCATTTTATCCATATTAATTCATATGCAGTGATTTACTGCTCCAATTGACCCAACGCGTTTCGCTTGTTCAGCTTCCTCAGGGGTTTTTATTCCCGACAAGAATCCAAGGGTCAAGAATCGTCAAGAGACCTATCTCCAGGAAGACAAGATAAAGATTCCAGTCTCCCTCTGAATTTTCAGATGCACACAGACAAGCCGGAGTCCCAAAATCTCCTCAATATCCAATTGATAGTTCCTAGTTGTCTCCTTCCTAGTCCTGTGTGTCCTCTGGCTCTTCCCAAGTCTTTTATATTTTACCAAAAGATTGGGTCATAATAAATGTTTCCTAACATAATGTTAAAAAAATACTTTTTTTTCTCAAAATTTTCAGTAATTTTCCTGAAATATAGTAAAAAATAAAAACCGCAGTAGTGATTAAATACCACCAAAAGAAAGCTCTATCTGTCCCCAAAATATTTTATAAAATTAATTTCAGTACAGCGTTGCATGACGGAATAAATGTCAATCAAAGTACTGCAGCGCTGAATACTGAAAAATGGCCTGGCCACAAAGGGGGTCTAAACAAGCATTTAAAATAGGCCCAGCCGCCCTAAACAACATATAGCAATCAATAGGCCGGCCGCTCGCCAGCGAGGTCCAGGGAGAGATTGTCATTCCGCCGGCCCCGCCTGGGTGTCAGGGAAGACACACAGGCTGTTCCGGAAACTTGACAGCTTCTGTGTTCCGCTTGCGCGGCTGCGCCCTTTCATCTCAGGGCCAATGCCGAGGCAAACCAAATGCCAGGCTTCCTTTAGCAGCGTAACGCCAGTGCGGCTGCGCCCCTCCAACTTTGGGTGCACGTTCGCACAGGCTCTTCACCTGTCGGCTGTGTATATACCTTCCCCAAGTTTTTCATCAGTTAAAGGCTTGGGCAGAGGTGGATCTGTTTGCATCTTCAGCCAACCGCAAACTGAACAGATTTTACTAGAGACTTCTTGCCCACTGGTAATTGCCATGGATGCCTTGACGGCGACATGGTCCTTTCAGACTGCATATGCCTTCCCTCCTGTTCCACTCATACTCAGCTTTCTGCGGAGGCTCCAAACGGAAGCTGTGACGGTGCTAGCAGTCATACCCAACTGGCACAGGAGTCCATGGTATCCCCTGCTTCTCAAATTGAACACGCAGACTCCGTTTCCATTGCCTACTTTGCCGAATCTTCTGTCTCAGGGCCCAATCCTCCACCCTGCCCCAGTCAGGCTTTGTTTGCCGGCCTGGATATTGAGAGGAGTAGGCTCTTGAGTTTGGAATGTTCCACTAATGTTGTCAACACATATGCTCCAGGAAACACAGTACGAATCGCATGTACAATAGAGTATGGAAGAAGTTCCAGGAGTTCGCTTCATCTCAGGGGCTCGAAGCTACAGCCCCTCAGATCTCTCAGGTGTTGGAGTTCCTGCAAATCGGGCTGGACATGGGTCTGAGTTTGAATACCCTCAAAGTGTCAGCGATTTCGGCCTTTACAGAGATCAGGCTCGCATATGACGGTCTAATTGAACAGTTCTTCAAGGCCGTCATCAGAGTGACGCCGCCTAGAAGGCTGCTGTTTCCCAAATGGGATCTGTTCTGGACTTTTTGGCCTCAGATACCTTAGAGCAGGGGTGGCAAACTGCGGCCCTCCAGCTGTTGTGGAATTACAAGTCCCTTGAGGCTTTGCAAGATTCTCACAGCCACGGGCACGACTCGCAGAGGCAGATGCATCATGGGATTTGTAGTTTCACCACAGCTGGAGGGCCAGAGTTTGCCACCCCTGCCTTAGAGGGTCAGATACCTCTCTGGCGCATCACCTTGAAAGTGGCCTTTCTGGTGCCAACAACTTCGGCCAGAAGGGTTTCTGAACTGGCAGCATCAGGGTTTCAGGAACCTTTCACTACCTTTTTGGCAGACACAGTTGTCATGGTACCAATGCTCGAGTTTGTCCCAAAAGTCGTATCAGATTTCCAAATGAGACAGGAAATAGTCTTACCCACCTTCTAGTCTGCAGAGGGTGAACATTTACATCGCTTGGCAAGTGTGCTAAAGATGTATATTGCATCTACGGCCGATATACGGGCCACCGATCATCTTTTTGTCATTCCTTCTGGTGTCAAAAAGGGCCCCAAGGCCTCGTGTAGGCTCATCGCCTCCTGGGTCGTCAGAGCTATAACCTTAGCCTACAGAGACAATAATTTGACTGTACAGGAGGGGGTCTTGACACACTCAATGAGAAGTATGTCAACATCTTGGGCTGCAGCAAGTCTAGTGTTTATGGAGACGATTTGTAAGGCTGCCGCGTGGTCGTTAGTTCATACTTTCATGTCCCATCATTGTAAAGAACCGGCAGCACTGACCATGGCAGAATTTAGCCGTGCTGCGACAAGCTCTAATTAAATATTGATTAGCATTGCCCCCGTGTGCTTCGCGAGTTATTTCCCATTAGTGTGCTGTCATAGAGCTGACAGGAAAACCGGAAATTGTATTCGTACTTACCAGTAATTTTCCTTTCCTGTCTAGCTCCATGACAGCACAATTCACACCCGTGCAGTCGGATAGTTACGTAACAGCTGGGCCAAATTTATAGTTACGGTCCTGTTAAGTGGGAGGAGAGATGGCAGCACAGAGACAATTACTGTGCTGCCATGGAGCTAGACAGGAAAGGAAAATTGCTGATAAGTATGAATACAATTTTCTGGTTTTATGTGCTGCAAAATGTAAAAAAGTATGGCTAAAGCCCAATACAACTTTTTTAGTTTAAATCAGATAAATACAGTTGCATTAAAACAATAGGTGTGCAAAATCTTACAGTTAATTTTGTTTAGAAAGCAGCTACAGCCTGAATGCAAAAGTCTATCCCCTTTGGCATACAGCAGAAAAGGACCCTTGCTCTTAGTGTGGAAGCAGTGATCCCTCTGCAGACTCTCCAACACCCCCCCTGCTGAATCAGAGCAATTCAATTAAATGAAAAAAAAATACTTCTCATTACTGTTTCCTCTTACCTCATAACCCAATAAAACACCATTAACAGGTGACACAGAATTCCATTCCACCTCAATATCCGATGATGATATTGCTTTGGCCTTGACTTTGGAAGGGGAAATGTTTGGCTCTATGAAACAATAAATACAATTATTCACAAAAACAACACAATCAGCTGTTGTTTACCAAAGATAACAATACATTGTAGACTGTGATACACTTAAAGTGTATATAAACCCTAACAATGAACTTCTCTTATTTACACAATTTTTGTTAAAAATGAAACATGCCACAGGCACTGGGGCACACCAGAAGCCCAGCATATCACAATGTCCAGGCATACTTGCACAGTTTATCCATTGCTATATATGCTCCAAGATGGAGGCTCTCATAGATTATGACCACACTACACAGAGGGGCCTTATCGAAGCAGTGTGGCCTACACATGTTTTACAAATGTTGTGCAATAAAAATTTCTGTTTTTAACGGAAATTGTTAGACAGTGTAACTTGTTTTTTTGCAGGCGAGCGGGTAAGTGTGCTGGGAAATTTCTGTAAAAAAGCAAAAAAGGGGTGCCTTCCCTAGTGTAGAATAGTTTATTTTTGTTTCAAATAAGTTTTATTGAGGTTTTTACAGATGTACAACTAGGATACAGTAAGGAGTTAAACAAAAAACGTCAACCCACAATCGGGTCAACGTGCATTTCCATTCAAACAGTGCCGTAACAGTGAAGATCCTGGTATGGAAGGGTCGAGTTGGAAACCAGGAGACAGGTTAGAAAGAAGGGGGGCAGTTGAGTAGGTCGGTAAGGGAGAAATGCCAGTAAAAGTCACATCTAACCAAGGATTTCCGGGAGTATCAACAGCGTTACATTTGGGTTATTCGGGTGGTTCCTGGAGTGTCCTCGAAGTATCAAGAATTGTCCGTGTGGCATCTCCAACACAATGGAGAGACATTTGGGTGCATGCGATGTAATAAATGGGGAGTTCTGTACCAAAACACGAGGAGTTTGTAGTTTGTTTCCTGCATTCTGCTGTTAAACGCACTTTTGTGGACTGCTAGGCAGATGTCAGACCAGGCGTCATCTGAGATTGTGGTTTGGAGAGAACGTTCCCATTTAGTACGGGGGAGAGTCGATCGCGTCAGGGGGTCTTGTCGGAGCAGTTCGTACAGCCAGGAGATAAGGTTCTGGTGGGGCCTTTGTCTAGGTGAAGTCTCTCCAATGGGGTAAGGGCCCTAGATACGGAGGTCTTGCGTAGGGGGTCCATTAGGAAGTGTCTGACTTGAAAGTAGACCCACCAGGGTAATGATCCCCGGACAGTGAGGTCTGCTAGGTCGGTTTTGGTCTTGAATGTGCGGGATTCAAAGAAGAGATGTGCTCGCAGTGGGGGTTCGTGAGGCCACAAGGTGGTGAAGTCTCTCGTGACACCTGGAGGAAAATCTCGGTTGTGCATCAGGGGTTCCAGAGGGCTATGTAGGGAGGTGAGGGTGCCATGGCGTCGCGCCAATAAATGGGTGGGTCCGTAATGATGTTGGCCATAAAGCAGTTCGAAGCCATATCATCGACGAGAGTGGGACGTCAGATAAAGTGTTTTCTAAGGAAGCCCATAACTTGGTGTCTGTGTGGAGGTGCCAGTGGAGAACTCTGGTGAGGTGTGCTGCTTTGTAGTAGCGATACATGTCCGGGACCCCCAGGCCTCCTTTATCTTTGGGCAACTTGAGGAGGGACCAAGCTACATGAGGGCGTCCGTCCTTCCACACAAAGGCAGAGAAGGTAGTGTCCAGCGTGTGAAAGAACACGCGCGGGAGTTTGATGGGAATGGTTTGGAAGAGGTAGAGAATTCTGGGCAGTATATTCATTTTTAGTAATGCTGCTCTTCCAAACCATGAGAAGGTGTGTAGTCTCCAGACTTTTAGATCTTCCATTATGGATGTGTTGAGTGTTGCAAAGTTGGAGTCATAAAGTCTGGTCAGATCCGAAGTCAGTTTTATGCCCAGATATTGTATATATCCCTTCCAAACACCAGAGGAAGGGAAAGGATGACATGTGTCATAACATGTGTGGTAGCAGTGTAGTCAAGAAGGATTTGTAGTATTGTGATGGGAGACCTGGCTTTGATTGTTTGAGGGAGGTCTGGAGTTCTTCTTCGGTGAGGGCTTTGTCTAATGAGGCCAGTAGTGCCTCGTCTATGGAGGGCATATTGGCTCTCATTAGGTATTGACAGATTTGGTTTAGGCGCTCGTCTGTGTTGGGACACGTTTGGGACTTTTGGGTTAGGTTGTAGAGTGTGTCATAATATTCCTGAAAGCAGGATGCTATCTCCGGCGGGGAGTGTGTGAGTTTGGATAATAGCTTTTGATGCTATGGATGTGGGAGCTAAAAAATTTTCGTGCGTACCGCTCTGGCTAGGAGCTTGCCGCACTTGTCTCCTTCCGAGTAGTAGTAACCTGTGCGCAGGGTGAAGGTACGTCTGATCTTGGTTGTCAGGAGGCTCAAGAGTTCCTGTCTGGTATTGGTCAGTGTGAGTAAGTTGCGTTGTTTGTGAGTCGTTTCCAAATCTCTGATTTTGGATTTGAGGGTCTGTATTTGTGCCAGACGTGTTTTCTTCAGTTTCACCGCAAGGGAGATGAGTCTCCCCCTGATGTAGCATTTATGTGCTTCCCATGTAGTCATGGGGGACGTGTCACCTGTTGCGTTAAAGTTGAAGTATTGCTGTAATTCCGCTGTAATTGTGTCAATGTTTTGCACTTCCTTGAGTAAGGAGGGATTTAGCCTCCAGGTTGACTGTTGCAAGGATGGGGGGAGATTGAAAATGTGGCCGAAATAGATGCGTGGTCGGAGGACACTAAGTTCCCTATCGTAGAGGATTGGAGTCTGGGTAGGTCTGCCTGGGATACGAAAATATAGTCTATGCGATAGTATTTAGCATGAATGTGAGAGTAAAATGTGTAATCCCTCCCTGTGGGATTGAGTGTCCTCCAGGTGTCACAGAGATGCAGTGCGTTGAGACGTTTTTTCAGGAACTTAAGGGTATGGTAGTGAGGATCTGCTGTTCGAGATGTCTATCCCCACCAACAATCAGCATGCCTTCCGCGAAGTCAGCAAGTCGGGAAATTAATTTGTTGAGGAAAGACGCATGGCACGTGTTGGGTGAGTATACGGAGGCTATTGTCAGGGGGGTTTGGCTTAAAAGGCCTGTCAGTATGATGAATCGGCCCTCTGGGTCTGTCAATTCGTCGTGGATTTGGAAGGGGACATTTTTGTGGAGACGGATGGACACTCCTCGGGATTTGTTGGAGGGTGAGGAGGCGTGATAGGCGGAGTGATAGTAGTTGTTAGTCAGCTTTGGGATTTTGTCATGTTTGAAGTGCGTCTCCTGGAGTAGTGCTATGGAGGCAGATTGCTTGTGTAAATCTCCAAGAATTAAAGGAGAACTATGGGGTCAGTGTTTTTCCCCATAGTTCTCCTTAGGGTAACGGGAGGACACAAACTAGCTACAGCTTGCGGTATACTGAGACGCTCACTTTTGTGGACTGCTAGGCAGATGTCAGACCAGGCGTCATCTGAGATTGTGGTTTGGAGAGAACGTTCCCATTTAGTACGGGGGAGAGTCGATCGCGTCAGGGGGTCTTGTCGGAGCAGTTCGTACAGCCAGGAGATAAGGTTCTGGTGGGGCCTTTGTCTAGGTGAAGTCTCTCCAATGGGGTAAGGGCCCTAGATACGGAGGTCTTGCGTAGGGGGTCCATTAGGAAGTGTCTGACTTGAAAGTAGACCCACCAGGGTAATGATCCTCGGACAGTGAGGTCTGCTAGGTCGGTTTTGGTCTTGAATGTGCGGGATTCAAAGAAGAGATGTGCTCGCAGTGGGGGTTCGTGAGTCCACAAGGTGGTGAAGTCTCTCGTGACACCTGGAGGAAAATCTCGGTTGTACATCAGGGGTTCCAGAGGGCTATGTAGGGAGGTGAGGGTGCCATGGCGTCGCGCCAATAAATGGGTGGGTCCGTAATGATGTTGGCCATAAAGCAGTTCGAAGCCATATCATCGACGAGAGTGGGACGTCAGATAAAGTGTTTTCTAAGGAAGCCCATAACTTGGTGTCTGTGTGGAGGTGCCAGTGGAGAACTCTGGTGAGGTGTGCTGCTTTGTAGTAGCGATACATGTCCGGGACCCCCAGGCCTCCTTTATCTTTGGGCAACTTGAGGAGGGACCAAGCTACACAAGGGCGTCCGTCCTTCCACACAAAGGCAGAGAAGGTAGTGTCCAGCGTGTGAAAGAACACGCGCGGGAGTTTGATGGGAGTGGTTTGGAAGAGGTAGAGAATTCTGGGCAGTATATTCATTTTTAGTAATGCTGCTCTTCCAAACCATGAGAAGGTGTGTAGTCTCCAGACTTTTAGATCTTCCATTATGGATGTGTTGAGTGTTGCAAAGTTGGAGTCATAAAGTCTGGTCAGATCCGAAGTCAGTTTTATGCCCAGATATTGTATATATCCCTTCCAAACACCAGAGGAAGGGAAAGGATGACATGTGTCATAACATGTGTGGTAGCAGTGTAGTCAAGAAGGATTTGTAGTATTGTGATGGGAGACCTGGCTTTGATTGTTTGAGGGAGGTCTGGAGTTCTTCTTCGGTGAGGGCTTTGTCTAATGAGGCCAGTAGTGCCTCGTCTATGGAGGGCATATTGGCTCTCATTAGGTATTGACAGATTTGGTTTAGGCGCTCGTCTGTGTTGGGACACGTTTGGGACTTTTGGGTTAGGTTGTAGAGTGTGTCATAATATTCCTGAAAGCAGGATGCTATCTCCGGCGGGGAGTGTGTGAGTTTGGATAATAGCTTTTGATGCTATGGATGTGGGAGCTAAAAAATTTTCGTGCGTACCGCTCTGGCTAGGAGCTTGCCGCACTTGTCTCCTTCCGAGTAGTAGTAACCTGTGCGCAGGGTGAAGGTACGTCTGATCTTGGTTGTCAGGAGGCTCAAGAGTTCCTGTCTGGTATTGGTCAGTGTGAGTAAGTTGCGTTGTTTGTGAGTCGTTTCCAAATCTCTGAATTTGGATTTGAGGGTCTGTATTTGTGCCAGACGTGTTTTCTTCAGTTTCACCGCAAGGGAGATGAGTCTCCCCCTGATGTAGCAT